TTTATTTAAAATAGAATAAAACTAACACTTTCAGCAACTTTTTGTTTCTTTTGGTTTGCCTTTTTTCCCCGCACAAAAATCACTACATACTTTATTTTCGATAGCATACCACCTATCGTGTATAACTTCGAGTAAAAACAATTCGATAACGACTGCGGTGATCCGCGTAAGCTACATTACGATGCTAAAGTACTCGATTTCGACTGCGGTGATTTGGCCCCAGATCTGGTGTTAATAAAAGTATTGCGATGAGTGTTATTTGAAGGCAATCAGACTCTTACATCACATTTTATGAGAGTTGTAATTATTCAAAATTTTGACCATTTGTGGGGGAGGAACATAATGGTGTGGACCGATATTGTCCATTTTCAAACCCGACCTAGCACTGACGCAAATATTAGGATTTGCGAAGTTGGAGTTTCTCCTTCTGTGTAAAAAAATATATTTTTTTGAAAAATTCGACCTTTTGTGGGGGAGGTCTTAAAATGTCACATACATTCAATATTTTCATAAACCCAAGATCTGGTGTTAAGATGGAATATATCGGTACACTCCTTCTGGTACATCCCAATACCCATTAAGTTCATAAAATGCGAAATTAACGTCGGATCCCATTTAGACGTGGTACATCTGAATATTTCTATCAACACAGGATCTATTAAAAAAACGGTAGAGATCGGACCATGCCTCCTGGTATCTCCCCCACAAAAGATCAAAGTTTTGAATAACCAAAACGTTTAGAAAATACGAAATAAGCATCAGGTTTTCTTTATATTTCACAAAACAACACAGTCCAAACCTAGCACGTCGCGATATTTATATCATATTTATTTAAGTCCGATACGAAATGGCCAATATCGGCCCATTCCTTCGGAACCTACTGCATGAGGAGTTAAACATTTGAATAATCATAACAGAAGTCAAAATAATTTTAAATAATACATTTGTCGGCAAAACCGACCGACACTTTTTTATTTGTTCTTGTATTGAAATAAACGGCGAAAAATCAAAAACTCTAAAAGAAAATTAAAAAGCCTTTTCTCTGAAAAAAAAAAAAAAAAAATAGGGATAAGACTTTGTATTAAACTTGATAACATATACAAAAGGTTTCAAAATACCTACCAATGTATTTAAATTAAATAATTTGTTCAAATGTAATACACCCTCATTAAGTCCCAACCACTTTGGGTGCAAGTAAAAATGTCTTGCAATAATTAATTTTAAAGAATATTTTTCTTTGCGATTCACCTCGCTTCGTAGGTTCTTTTCTGAAGAATTAATCAAACTTCGCATCTCGGTTCGCTTAGAGTTAGAATAAATAAATAAAGTTATTTTTAATGTCAAAAGCGCCATCTAGATATGAAATGTTATCTATTAGTGTCGAAGTCAAAGACATAAACCACACTCTGAAAGAAACGATTTTATCACGTGTAGATGGCGTTCATTAACCATGAGATTACAATATTCACGACAACACATTGCTTTGCAAACGATGAACATTCCGCTTGTATTATTCTTTAAAAGACGACATTTTGGAATTAAATACTGTATTTATTATGTATAATTGCGGGGTTTTTCGGTACAAAAAGTCAACATTAAGGTATTAGTTTTTTACAACCCTGTATTATCGGTGCTAGGTCAAGTGTGAAAATAAACCTCGGCTTAAAATTTTACATAATTATAACTCTTATAGAATTGGAAATAATAGTTCGATGGTCTTCAAATTTTGCACATCTCAAAATTTTTACCAACGCAAGATATGGTATTATGAGATGGAATATATCGGACAGCTCCTTTAGGTAACCCCCCCCCCACAAAGTGCTCAACATTTTCAATAACGAAACGCTTATAAAATGCGAAATAAGCATCCGATTTCACACATTCCAATATTTCTGGTAACACAAGGTCTGGTGTAAAGATGTCTGCCCGTCCGTCTATGGCAATCAATATAGCTTCCGAATGAATTGAAGTAGGTTGATAACATTTTTTACTCAAGTGTGTATTTGGTGTGCAGGTCTTTTGGTATTGAAAATGGACATATAGCTGTCCACGTTTAGGTGTAGCTCCCATATAACTGTACCTCTCTATATTCGGTATTTTGATGATTTCAGCGACATTATTCATCGGAATTGTTTTAAATTTCGTATTTGAAGTTCCTAATGGGTATTTCAGTCTATGACATCAAATTGTCTTTGCAGGTCCATACATTGGTACCTTCTTATGTTCGGTATTTTGACGACAGAAAATTGCCTATGCAGGTCCAGGTTTTCACGTAGCCCCCATATAACGGTACCTCCGGCATTTGGCTGATTTCAGCGACATGTTTCCCCGGAATTGTTTCAAATTTCGTATTTGAAGTTCCTAATAGGTACTACAATTTCTCTTGCATTTGGGCAAAAAAGGATATCTTATTGGATATCATCTCACGGTAGCGCACACCAGTCATAGTAACTTTACGACATATCATCTTTGAAGAATTATGATCCAATGATGCCACCAGTCCATAAACCTCACCAAACTGTGAGATTTTCTGAATGCATTGGTAGCTTATGTAAAGCTTCTGGTCGACACTCCAAAATCGACTAAACTGTTTATTTACGTGCCCATTGAGCCAAAAATGAGCTTCGTCGCTAAACCTAAAAAGCGCGGGATGAGAATAAAATTTCATGATTTGCTAGCGTTGTTCGTTTATAAGACGATTCATGGTTAAATTGTAGATCAAACTGAAGATGTTTGACAGTGAAACAAAACACGAAACATATGTGAGCTGTGCTAAAACATAATATCTAATGAAAATTACCACGTTTGTCACACCTTTCCTAGTTATCCGTTTGTACTTTTCAAAAAAACTGGCGCCGATTGAACTCGAAGTCGTCCAAAGTTAGGGGTAGGTGACCAGCTCTCCCTCTACCATATATAGTATGGAAGATATATATTAGTCATTCCGTTTGTAACTCATCGAAATAATAATTTTAGACCGAACAATATTTAGACAGCGTAAAATTCTAAGAAGATTTATCTCTGTGCGTCCGTCTGCCCGTTTGTTGTAATCACGCTAGAGTCTAAACGAAACAATATAGGAAGCTAAAATTTAGCACAGGGAATCGCGCATATAGGTCCACGATATCGTAGTACCCCCATATAACGCTACCTCCCTATATTCGGTATTTTTATGATTTTAGCGACATTTTTGACCGAAATTGGTTTAAATTTCGTATATAAAGCTTGAAGCTCGTAATGTGTACTACAACATATGCCAGAAAATTGTCTAACAGTACCTGTCTTTATCAGGTATTTTGATGATAATAGGAACATTATTCAGCGGAATTATTTCAAATTTGATGATATTATCGGAATTGGCAAATTTCGTAATTTAAGTTCGGAATCGATACTACATCCTATGAGAAACAATTACTTCTTCAGGTCCTCGTCTTCGTATATCCACCATATAACGATTTTCATTTAAGTGGTATTTTTCGACGGATTTTTTTTTTGAAATTATTCAAAATCTTTTAAAATCGTGGAGGGTATTAAAAGTTCGGCCCGGCCGATCTAACTGCTTTTTTACTTGTTCTTACTAATATTAAAAAATGTTAAGTTTGTAAAATTGTGATTGTACAAGGTTACCTTGATAATTCTACCATGGTTTGGCACATGACCTACATAAAGTCGGTCAAGTTTGCTGTGAAAAGACATATTGTATACCAAATGATTTGACCCAAGGGATGTCCCAAACCAAGACCAACATAAGGTCGGCTCATGACCTACATAAGGTCGGCCAGTAGGGCCATCTGGCAACCATGTTTTCCGTCAAAAGACATATTGTGATTTGAAATTCAAAGAGAGTCAAACCACAGTAGTGCAAAAACTGCTAAGTTTATTGACAAATTGGAGTCAAAAGTAGTTTTCTTGGCCGCCCTTATGTAGGCCTTGGTTTGGGTTTTAAACTAAGGGATGCCAAACTTTATATCCAATTTTCCAAAACTATCGGGCTTTGCTATGATTAAAGATTAAGTCCGCTGATCTAATTGCATTTTATGTTCATTGATTAATCTCTCTTAATTTAGCATGCCACGAAGTTCTCATCCAAAAAAAAAAATCTAATTAATTTTTTTTAAGAAATAAAAATGTATTTTTAACAAAAATTCAATTATTCACAAATTAGTTACGATATTCAACATTAGGATGTGTACGAATGTATTCCAATGACTTGAGAATGGCACGAGGAATTGGTGGTGGAGTTGGCAAATGTTCACCGCTGGGTTGGAAGCCATTTTCATCGGCGGCATAGGTTAGTTGAATGAGTTCACCTAAGCATATGCGCCAGCGGTAAATACACCACCAACACCGCTTTCTAAGGCACTGATGCCATTCGATGTTTCATAGTCGTATTTGTAATCACCCTCAGATCTTCGTTCGTTTACATATTTTGTGGTGTACGCATAGGCATCTTGAGATTTGGCAGCAAGTGTGCCACAAGCCAAGCAGGCAATCAAACCGACAATAGCCTTTAAGAAGAGAAAAATTAGTGCTTAAGGGCAAATGGAAAGAAAGGATAACTTACGAGTTTATTCATATTTCGAGAATAATTCTTTTCCGAACTAGATTAAAGTTGCTGTTCATATACTGTATGTGCTCTAAGGGGAATATATCGATCAGTTTTATAGTAAAACGACAATCAATCATAGCTCGCACGCTCAGAGAAATAAATCAATCAATATGTGTTGCTTTGCTTTTGTTGTTGTTGTTGTTATTGAAAGTTCGACATTCAGGCATGTCACAGAAGTTTTACGAAATCGATTTATTTCACCTTTTCCAAATCGTTACGATTTGCTTTTGCTTCTTCAGCACTCGTACGTTTTGACTAATCCGGAAAAAAAATCATTTCACATTTTTGAAATAAAAATATGGTAACTCCATGAAAAAAGTCGTAAACAAATTATTGACAATTAAAAAAGGAGTTTAAATTGTTTTTTATAATATAAACACCAAAAGTTAAGAATGCCAGGGGCTTCAATACTTGCTGTAATGGATGAAGAAATAAATCAGCGGTCTACTGAAAAAATTCGTCGCCGGACATTGAGGAACGCATCAGATCCTTTATCTCACTCAAATGCAGAGTAAGGATCCACCAGCAATGAGTTATTTTCAAATTTATTTTAATAATAATTTATTTCTACAGATTTATAACTTATTATCGGCTAAATAAAGAAGCTTTTGTTTTAGTTTTGGAAAAAATTTCTCCCCACCCCAAACGTTCCAATATACCGGCTATTATCCAGCTTGCAACAACGCTTAGGTTTTTGGCTACAGGTGCATTTCAAGGAGTTATAGGTAGAGATGTGGAGCTAAGCCTTGGGAGAAGTACAGTTTCTACAATTATGTGGAGAGTTATTAATGCAATTGAAGCTGAAATTTGTCCACATTGGATCAAATTAATAATGTCTTCCGAAGAAAAAAGAAAGTCGAAATTGTACTTTTTTGAAAATTATGAAATTCCAGGAATTGTAGGATGCATTGACGGAACTTGCCCGATTGACTGAAGCGCTCTGTCTCAAACCAAACAATTAATTGTTTTTTTTTTGTATTTCCCCTTTCTTGCTTTTTGGTCTGTCAGTTGTACATTTCTACACCTTCTTCTTCAGCACATATGGCAATAATTCAACAATACAAGTCTGCCGTTCATTTCTGCATATTTTTTTGCGTTTTCATCATGGATTAGAAAAATAATAGATTTTTTGTAAAATAAATTCCAAAAACATGTTCATTCTAAGAGAATTTGGTTAATACAATATTTTCTGTTAAATGTATGTGTCTTCTGTTTATTTTTTACGTTAAAATCACTAAACATTTCAATTTCACCCTGCTTTTTGAAAGTGATATCAAAACGCAAAATTTTTGCGTTTTCCGTTTTTTAGAGAAGCTAAAACCGTTTTCATTTTCACTCTTGAACGATTTTACATTCTGTGACATGCCTGATTATTTAGCATATCATTTACAATTTTCATTCATGCGAACAGAAACTGGTGTCAATAAATGTTTCTCATAATTGCCATTGACATCTGTAGTTTTGATTTTAAGAACTTGATTTATCATCATCATCACCATAGTCTCGTCATTTTTCCGTCGAGTTTATTGCCGGACTTGATCTGCCCTTATATTTTTATACCCTCCACCATGGGTAGGAGGGTATATTAACTTTGTCATTCCGTTTGTAACACCTCTAAATATTCGTCGTAGACCCCATAAAGTATATATATTCATAATCAGCATAAAATTCTAAGACGATTTAGCGATGTCCGTCTGTCTGTCTGTCTGTCCGTCTGTCTGTCTGTCCGTCTGTCTGTCTGTCTGTTGAAATCACGATAGAGCACACATTATTTGACGTAGACTTTTGAAATTTGGCACAAGTGTGTGTATTGTCCCTAGGATGGTTGGTATTGAAAATGAGATATATCGGTCCACGTTCTGGTATAGTCCCCATATAACGGTACCTCCCGATATTCGGTATTTTGATGATTTATGCCACATTTTTTCACGGATTTATCTGAAAATTAGTATTTGTAGGTCATGACGGGTCCCTGAGCGTTTGGCAAAACATTACATGTATAGGTCCACGTTTTGGTATAGCCCCCATGTAACGGTACCTACCGATATTCGGTATTTTGATGATTTATGCCACATTTTTTCACGGATTTGTCTGAAAATTGGTATTTGTAGGTCACGACGGGTCCCTGAGCGTGTGGCAAAACATTGCATGTATAGGTCCACGTTTTGGTATAGCCCCCATATAATGGTACCTACCGATATTCGGTATTTTGATGATTTATGCCACATTTTTTCACGGATTTGTCTGAAAATTGGTATTTGTAGGTCACAACGGGTCCCTGAGCGTGTAGCAAAACATTGCATGTATAGGTCCACGTTCTGGTATAGTCCCCATAAAACGGTACCTCCCGATATTCGGTATTTTGATGATTTATGCCATATTTTTTCACTGATTTGTGTAAAAGTTGGTATTTGTGGGTCATAATGGGTCCTAGGTCGTGTGGCGAAACATTGTAATTATAGGTGCACGTGTTGGTGCAGCCCCCTTTTTAACGGTACCTCCCAATATTCGCATTTTAATGTTTTTTGCCACATTTTTTCTAATGTTCTTTTACCCTAGGGTGGAGGGTATTAAAAGTTTGGCCCGGCCGAACTTAATGTTTTTTTACTTGTTTTTTTCTATTTCACCTTTCAAAAGACTGAATCGGTTTATTGCTATGCTACCATTGTTGCCCCCCACATTATTCGCTTTCTACTTTGTAGCATAGGCTGATACAATATCTTTCGATTTTCAATAAAATCAAGGTCTTTTAGGCCTGCGTCTCGATTGTTCTTCTTTTGGTGATAATGAATGATTAACATTTTAATTGGTTGTTTTAAGGTTTGGTTTTTAATTAAATTGTCTGGCGATTTGTGAGATATCGACATTAAATAGGCTAATATTTATGGTGCGGATTAAAACATCATCGACTTAGTATAATGTTTGTCTCAAATAGGGTGTAGTGACGTACGCATGTAAAATTTACAAATTACATCAGAAAAGTAACTATTACAATGTGGCCTATGGTTTCGCCGTGCGTACATACACATGGTTTTTATACCCTCAGCCATATGGCTACAGAGAGAGGCATATATCATTTTATACGACCAAAACGTGACTCATCGAAATAACGATTTGGGACCAATTCCATTTCAGGACATTTGGAGTTGAGCTAGAGGTGTCCGTCCGTCCTCCTGTCTGACTGGCTGGTGCGCACGATAACTCTCGAAGGGAGTATCCGTAATATTATTGTAAAATATAAATCGAGTTCGAAGATGAGCAATATTGGTCCACGCTTTCTGGTACCTCCCCTACAAAAGGTCAACATTTTCAAAGAAAATAATTTTCAGTATACAACAAGCACGGATCATGCAATTTTGTTCAAATTTTGCAAATCCCAATATTTGTATTGGTGCTATGTCAAGTGGGAAATTGGACAATATCGACCCACTCCATCGTTTACCTTCCCCACAGTGGGTCAAAATTTTGAATAATTATAACTCTTTTAAAATACGAAATAAGCATCCGAATCTCTTCAAATCTTCTCACATCCCAATATTTTAAATAACACAAGACCTGGTGTGAAGGTGGAATGTACCGGTCCACTCCTTCAGGAACCTCCCCCATAAAGGGTCAAAATTTTGAATAACCAAAACTCTTATAAATGAGATGTAGGCATACGATTCCCTTCAAATTTCACACATCCCAACACATAATCAGGCGTGAACAAGATATATATTAGATAGCTCCTTTTGGTACCTCCCCCACAACGGGTAAAAATTTCGAATAATTATATCTTTTATAATTTGGGAAATAAGCACTACATTCTTTTCAAAATTAACACATCCCAATATTTCTACTAACACAAGACCTGGTGTGAAGATGGAATGTATCGGTCCACTCCTTCAGAATCTCTCCCACAAAGGTTCTAAATTTTGAAAAACCAAAACGCTTATGAATGCAAAGTAAGCATCCGATTCCCTTTAAATTTAAAATTGTCTGTGCAGGTCCACGTCTTCGTATTGCCCCCATATAACGGCACCTCGCTATGTTCGGTATTTTGATGATTTTAGCGACATTATTAACCGGAATTGTTTAAAATTTGATATTTGAAGTTCGTTATGGGAACTACAGTCTGTGACAGAAAATTGTCGGTGCGGGTCCAGTTTCGAATTTGAATATGGTAATGGCTTATGACAAACAATGCATATGTATGTCCACGTCGTATAGACCCCAACATAACGGCTATATTCGGTATTTTTAAAATTTTAACAGAATTTTTTAAGGATTTTATTTTTTGAAAATTTCCAAATTCGTTGTAAATGGTGGAGGGTATTAAAAGTTCGGCCCGGCCGAACTTACTGCTTTTTAACTTGTTATTATATTGCGAAACTAGTCACCGATTCTTTTAAAGCTTGGTAACCTGGTTTTATCGAATAACCATTTAAATACACCTTTTTATATTCCCATTAAGATTTACTCAGTAAAAGCACGTTTTGCATAGAAATCTTTGTCCGGGTTGACCCTGAAAATTGACCAATCAAAATAAATATAAGTTGAATTTGTTGTAATTGTTCAATTATGCCCGATAACGATTTTTCATTAAAACACACCATAAGTTACCTTGGTAGATTAAGAATGACTTGTTCGAAAAAAAAGGAAAATAAAATAACAGCATTACAACTTCCCCACTATGGTGGTATGTTTTGTGATATACGGACAATATCACAATCCCCAATCCGTTGTAAGATTTATATTTTTTTAAATCCATCCAGTTGTAACATTTTCTATAGGAAAATGTGGACCTTAATGTGCAATGTTCTGCCACTGGAGCTAGAACCCATTATGAACTAGAAATACCAATTTTTATAAAAAATCCGTGAGAAAATGTTGCAAAAGTCATCAAAATACGGAATATCTGGAGCTACTATTATGTGAAGGCTATACGAAAACGTGGACCTATACATACAATGTTTAGCCATAGCAGCTAGAACCCATTATGACCTACAAATACCAATTTTTAGACAAATACGAGGAGAAATGTGGTAAAAAACACGGAACATCGGGAGATACCATATGGAGGCTATACAAAAACGTGAACCTATACATACAATGTTTAGCCACAGGAGCTAGAACCCATAATGACCTACAAAATACCAATTTTAGACAAATTTTTGAAAAAACGAATATCGGGAATTGCCGTTATATGAGGGCTATCCCAAAACGTGGACCGATATATCTCATTTTCAATACCAACCATCCTAAACACAATACAAATTGTTCTGCCAAATTTTGAAGATCTACGTACTTATAAACTTTATACAAATTGTTCTGCCAAATTTTGAAGCTCTACGTACTTATATACGAATACTTGGGATGTTACAAACGGAATGACAAAAACAAAAATTATATCTTTAGTGAAGTTTTTGAAATTCACGTATAACACAGTGTACATATATATTAATCCTCCAGGCACAGCTCTTTGTAGTAGGAGACTAAAAAAACCCGTGATTTCCGAAACGGGTCATTTTTTTGATAGTTTATCAGGTAGCCTCGAATTATGTTACAATTAGTACATGTTTTTATTACCCAGTTTGAGTAAAGGTAAGAGTATATAAAAGACATTTTTGACTGGCTTAAGTCTTCGGCTGGCTTCTTCGTAGAGGAACTAAGGAGTTTTAGATTGACTTAGTTCGATTTTGGCCCTACACCCCTTTGTCCTTTTCCAAAGAAGCCAGCCGATGACTTAAGTCAGTCAAAAACGGCCTAAGTCGTTGTCAAATTTGGTATCAAAAGATTTGGAGCAATTTAGATTTAGTTGTTTCTTCCTATGAATCTTTCTCAAGTGAGCTTCAATCATCCAGTTTACCTGACTAAAAATTTGTTCCAAATTTGATATAACTCATTAATCTTTGTTCTTTTGCGGAGAAGCCAGCCGATGACTTAAGCCAGTCAAAAAAGCCGTTTAAGTACTCTCACTTTGAGAAAGTTCAACTCCCTAAGCCTATAGATTGTCCATAATAGAATTAAGAAGGTAAAGTTATGTAATAATATCATATCTCTGGTGCTCATATCAATCCAAATGAAAATCAATTGGTAGCTATGCCTTACCTTGATTTCATTGCACCATGCCACAGGTGCCACACACGAACATATACTTAACATTTTGAATAACAAGTTAAATAGTATCAGTCGGTTTGGCCGACAGATGTATACCCCTAG